TATGAGGGGGGGGGGGGGGGGGGGGGTTCTGGGAACTCTCGGACACGGGGGTAAATCTCCCACAAGGTGAGGGAAAGTCGATGTCAACGGGTATAAAGTTGATGTAGTTTTACGTGTACAACACCCATTTTCTTGCCGTAAGCACAACAACAGAGTAGTACAGCAGTCGACCAAGCTCGGGGCAACATTCCGTACATGATTCACCGTGTCCCAAGTTGCCTGGGTACGATATGGTGGCGGGTGGAGAGTCCCTGCTCGGCCAAGCCCACAACTATGTTGGTACCGGTAGGGACGAAGGGGAAGTTACAGTTGGAAATTGAACCACCTCGAAAACACGGGGAAGAGGCAAAGCATGGAAAGGAAGAAGCCGAAGGCGGTGTGTACAACAGTTTGGCGTCCATGATGGCCTAGCTCACCGCGTGGTAGCCATGGACCGAAGGCGCCCCAAGAGACTTGGCGGCCTCGTCGTCGCCTCCTCCTCCTCCTCCTCCTCCTTGTCGCTGCTGCAGTTGCGAGTCCGCCTCCTCCAACCGCTCCTCCTCCTCGAGCTCTCGCACCACCCCACGCCAGTCGCCCGCGGGCATGCCCCGGATCTTGTTGGTGAACTCCCGCGAGCGCACGTCGGCACGGGTGTGCCTCTTCCCCCCCGGCCGTTTCACATAGCCGCCGTCGTCGCCGGCGGCCCCGGCGACCGGCCTCGGAGTCTGGCAGAGGCTGCATTCCTCCTGCTGCCGGTAGAGCTGGGCGCCGCAGGCCGGGCACCTCCAGCCGCCGAGCTTCGGGCCGTTGGTGACGGACGCCTTTCGGATGCCCGCTGCACGGCGTGCGCGCGGTCGTGGTGTTGGCGTCGGGTGCGCCTGCTGCCCCGTCCCTGCGGTTGGGGGACGTCGTTGGTTCGTCCTCGGTGGTGGCCTTGCCGGCGGCGGCTGCTGCTGTTTTTTTGCGAGGTCGCCCGCCGCCACGGGCGGAGGAGGAGGAGCCCTAGCGCCGGCAACACGGCGTGCGCCGGAGGTCCTTTCTTTGCGCAGCTCTGCTGGGGCCGCGGGGCAAGTCGCGCTAGCAGAAGCAGAAGCTATGAGGGAGGAGGGTCTGCGGCTTCTCCGAGACGTTGTTGCTGTTGAGGTTGCCGGAGAGAGCGGTTGCTGCAGCACCCCACGATATGGCACAGCCGTTTCAAACCACGCTGAGGGCGTCACAAACGCCATGCCAGAGACTCAGGACTCAACCGTGTGGTACCGTACAACCTGCAGCCCAGTTCGGCCGCTGATGTGCTCAAGCTGCGGGCGGTGTCTGCGCTGGACTGTGGGGGGCCCCGTAAATTGCGGAGTTCTCTTGGCGGGGTACGCTGCAATGCCCCGCCTCGTTGTGTACGGGAGCGGAGTGCAGAGTACCGCGCGTCGCTCAGAGACACACAGGGATTGGCGGGGACTCCTGGTGCTTCTATCGTCCTTGATCTACGTCTTATTCTTGCTGCGGCCCGAGGTACGCTGTGGATATTGGTGGATGGGCAGTGGGCGAAACTGAAAAAGTTGCAATTGAATTTTCAGTGCTAAATTTATTCGTATTTGAATTTGAATTCAGTCCCCGCGCGTGAGCTGCCGAGCTGCTCCCTGATCGGACTTGGGACGTGAACATAGAAGTGCTCTCTCGGGGACGGGTTGCTACTTCACCGCCACACGGAAACGAGATATCTGTGTAACTAGGCCTGTCTACAAGCAAAATATGATACCCGGTCACTTCCACGGTGCGGTTTAGCACAGGATTGGGATTGCCAAACCATGGTTCATTTTTCATTTTCACCGAAGTGTTCCTGCTGTCCGCAGCACCCGATCTTGCCTCCATACGTAGCCAAGAGAAGCACCAACAGCCGAGGACGAGCCAAGGCGACCCTCCTCGGCGAAGAGCAACACTCACACGATCTCATGGTGTGGGCGTGTCTCTCTCCGGCAGTTTAGTATACCACCTCCCCGGGGTCCTGTATCATCGTGGAGTTTGTTTGTTTTCCCCCCGAATTTTCCCTGCACGCGATGGGTGGGAAATCGTCGAGGGGGAGAGAGGGGAGGGGTGGCCACACCGAGCATTGTAGTATCTATTGCTCTGCGAGCAGTGTTATTCTTGTTTCTTGTTCGGCTTCGGCCTCCTTGCTACGTTGATTCTTCCCACAGCAAACCTTCACCCTCAACCTTGCCTTGTGGGGGGGGGGGTGATATCTAGTGTCATGGCCTGCGTAGAGGTTGCTTCCTTTGCACGCACACGCGTGTACGCCTAAGCTTATTCCAATCTTGAAAATTGAAGAGCACCCCGCCACACCATGTTTCGGTGTCTGCCGACGAAACAAAGAGCAGGTTTGCTTGACGTGTAAGTGCGGCAGGAGAATGTGATGATCGCCCAAAATTTTCGGAATTGTCTCTGCTGTTTTGAGGGTATGCAGAAACGGCGCTCCGACTCCAAAGGAACACGCTGCGTATGTTGTAACTAACAGGGTCGCCTCCCCCCCCCTCCCCCCTCCCCCCTCCGTTCCGCGTGCTAGGAGAAGAGCACATACGCTTTGGCGCGCCGCCACGCAAACACGACAGTCACAACGGCCAGCTAACAGACGCTCCCTATGACCGCCGAGAGTGAGAGAGGGGCGGACATGCTCATGTCCCCTCCTTCATCGATCGACGCAACGGCGGTCGGGGCGGACGGAGCGAGAGGAGACGAGCTGGGGGCGCCTCGGGTCGAGCTCGCGTACGAACCGCGTTATCAGAGGTATTATAAGAACATTGTTCTTTTTTGGTGCTTAGCTCTGTCGTGACCTAATTATTTCGCGTACTTGCTCTGCTGTGTCTCCTAGTGATGGCGGCGTATTTATCGGTTTTTGAGCGACGTATGGGCGGAAGGGAGATTGAGATAGAGAAGGCTTTTCCACAACTGGATGTACAGGAGACACGTTTTCGAGCCTGCGGTGTTGGGCTAGCTCACCTAGCACGAGGTGCGGCCCACCGTCAAACGCATCCTAGCTTGCGTAGAAACGCGGCTGGCGTCATGCTGCCTTTCGTCAGCGTGTCCTTTGGTAGTCAGACTCACCGAGGGTAGGCAAGAGTCGAGGACCACACTGTTCGCGTGGCTACTGTCGCTGCCTAAAAGCAGGAGCAGGGTCTTTGCGCTGCACACTCGAAGGAAAGACAAGAGCCGCCTCGTCTCTGCCTCGCCTTCCGCATGGATTCGCCGATGACGTATCTTATATTCTACACGGCGGCAGAACCAAACTCGTCGAAGTACCCGCAGATCATCAGATCAACTCAACTGGACCGCCTTGTGAGAACCAGAAGGTAGATTGGCCTCTCTCTCGCCAATTCGTTTTGTTCACGCTGCCGCAAAGATGATGCCCCTCGTGTCTTTGCGTTGCGTCGCTGTGCTGTGTTGGAAGGTTCATCGTCAAGAAGAAGAGCTTCACCCAGCAGTTCAGCCACGTCTACAACAAGCGCCTGCTGGCGCTCAAGGGCGCCGTTCGCCAGGCGGCGGAGAAGCGGTGGGGAAAGGAGGGGGAGGGCGGGGGGGTGAAGTTCGTGGATCGGCTGGTGAACATGCGAGAAGGGGACGAGTGGGTGGTCATCGGGACTACGTACAAGGTGGTTATTTATTGCTTTCAGCGTCAGCGCGTAAACACACCAAGCACACGTAGCAACTCCTGTTTTTTGTCGTGGTGTGAGAGTGTTTAATGTGGGGTCTGCCTCAGCGGCGGCAGGGGCTTGCTTTGTGGTTCGCACGCTGTCACGTTTCCGATCAGCGGTAAAGCTCGTTTTACACGGAATTTCTGGAACCGGCCCAACAGTAGACTGCTCGGTGAGGGTGTCCGGCGCACACGGGTCGGAGATTTGTTCGCGCGTGATTTTCGCTGTAGTGGGGATCGACTTGTCAGGCGTGTTTCGACAGGAGAGGAAGGTGTCGATCTTTCCAGAGGGCTTGGCTCGCTAGTTACCAGAGTTGCGACCCTTGGCTTTTCTTGCGGTCCGCTTTCGGCCGAAATTTATCCTATCCTCATTCTAAACAATCAGCGGATCCTCTCTGCGCGTGTGTGTTGACCCAGCGCTAGGAATTTCGTCGGAATCATATCACAGAAAAGAAACAGTTTCACCCCGCACACAGCCATCCATCCATGATGGATTTGCCTAAAGGATCGCGGATCAACATTCACTTGTCCTGGTTTTGTGGCGCCGGTGGTTCTCAACCCTACGGACTGCAAGGGTAAAAGTTTTTTTTTTCTGTTGGTTGCGGCGTGAGATTTACGTATGTGTGTACAGCTGACGCTACTTAAACCCACCACCACGCACGCAGGCGATGAAACTCAGGCCCAGCATCCTCAACGAGTTCCGCGAGGATAGGGGCATCTCGATGGCTGTAGTGGTGAGCGAGCGAGGGCGTTTTCCCTGATTTTTTTACCGGGGTGGGCTGTCGGGCAGCAGACTACTATCTGCGCGGGCGTGCTCCTCTTGCTGCTGCTGTTGCTGTTGCTGTGGTCTTCCATCAATCCAGAAAAGGTTCTGGTGTCTACCCTGTTACGTATACGTGCAGCCTCATGCTGGAAAACACTCATCATGTGTCAGGGCGGTGCAAATTTGATTGCAATGATTTATAGGGGGGGTGGGTTTGGGGACATGTAGTCCAACCCCATGCGTGCAATAAGGTTGTTTCGATGGGTACCTCTACGAAGAATGCAAACAAATTATGTCTGAATGGTAGGCTTTTCCCCCGTAGGCGATGTTTTTTTTTTTTTGCGGCGTTTCACGGAATTTTTCGGCTATTTTTTTTAGTGCAAAAAACGCCTTTTTCGGCGACTTTCGGCGCCTTCCACATGTTTTTCGGCGAGTCATAGTTCAGTTTCGGTGATTGTTGGCGATTTTCGGCGACGTACATAGCATGTACTTCCAGTAACAAAAACGAGCGGGTCGCGACGCGGTTGGACTGCTGCGGAGGTCACCTGTCACCTGTCCGCGAAAACCGAAATGATGTGTCCTTCGTCCTTCTCTTATTTTTCTACAAACTACATCTATCTTGCATGTTACGCTGGTTGGTGCGTACATGCAATATTCCAAGCCCTCAGTTATCAAACAAATCAACAACGAAATAGAATACTATGAGATGCTTCGATACTTCCACGTTACGCATGGCATGTACGCCTACGTCCGGGCAAAAACATGCATATCATGACAGGTACTGACCCACCAACTACGAAGAAGTAAGACATCTACACGAAACTAACCGAAACACAGGTCATCAGTCGCTTTCTTCATCGCTGCCATCGCTCTGGTCGCTACCGCCGCCACCGCTGTTGGCATCTTCGAAATTAATCGGCACCGTGAAATTAATCGGCGAGAATCGGCGACCTCAATCCATGATTCGGCGTAGCCCCCTCCAAAAACGGCCCTACTTTTTGGTTTTCGGCGACAGTTTTTTTTTTCGGCGAGCATTTTTTTTTTACGGCGACATATTTCGGAATTCGGTGTTTTCGGCGGTCGCGTACGGGGGAAAAGCCTACTGAATGGTGAACGCGTTTATGCTGCCGATCGCTGTACAACTGCAACAGCTTTTTTGTCACGTTGGGACCCACAAGTCGCGAAAAATGCTGACCGACACGCTAACGGATGATGCCACTTGTGATTGTGCTCGTGACCACAGGCGCCAGTGGGAAGCTTCACCAGCGAAGATGACAGTCTCGTGCTGGAGGACGAGAGCGGACGGGTTTCCATATCGGGCCCGGGAATCCAGTCCAGCTCCCTCGTTTCTGGTATGTGTGTGTGTTTCCCTTATTGGCATCGACCGCGCTATCCGGCTGACCAATGAACGTCAGTCTCAGTGCGGCTGAAAACACAAAATGCCTGTAACGTCTGTGTGTGTTGATTTCGTTGGACGTGTTCCGTGGTTTTGCCCGCATTCGGAAAAATGACAGCAGAAAGAAATGGACACTCCAGGTTACCTTTTTTTCTTGTGTTTTTTCCCGGTGGACTAGATGGAAGGCGAAACCTTTTTGAAACCTTTCGCTTCATCTCTCGCTCGTATCCTTCGCCTCCACCCCTCTCATATATTTGCAGCTGCCTTTGGCAGCGAACAAGTGGCCATCGGTGATCGGTCATGTGTGAATAATGCTCCGTCCTCTCGAGGACGCGTGGTCCATGGCCTAACCGCTATGGCTTGCAAGACGTGAGAATATACCCCCCCCCCCTCTACCTCCCCCCCCCGTTGTTTGCCATCGGGGTTGGGTTTTTCGTCGCTTGGCAACGACGTTGTAAAACAAGCCGCCCCCCCGTTGTTTGCCATCGGGATTGGGTTTTCGTCGCTTGGCAACGACGTTGTAAAACAAGCCATTTCACTTCGTGAACTCGGCAACCAGATTACCGTTTTGTTTTTACCTTTGGTTTTTTTTTTTGGCGGTAACCATCATGGTGGTCGAGTAGATCATGTTGTGCGGGGTCGAGAACCCTCACTCCGCGCAAGGGGGATGATCGCACCACGTTGTGTTAAAATGGTCAAGCGTCCTCGAGGCAGTTACACGTGCTTTAGCTGTCTCTGGAAGTAAAATCACCAGAAAATAATAAAATAATTTAAGTCATACGTAGCTGTCATCCGTACGCAAGGAAGTAAGCACAAGATGCCGAACACCCTTAGCAGGATGCAGCGCACCCTTTATGCGACTCGCCGAATACCTCACGGCGCTTCGCACTTGGTGATGTGAGAGCCTGGTCCGGTGAGAACCCGGCGTGCTCCGTCCCGGCTTTGTAGGGATGCGAGGTCAATGGTCTAATGACTACGGCATGCACGACCATGAGTACCCCCCCCCCCCCCTCTTGCTCCGTCTCGAAAGGGACGCGTGGTCAATGGTCAAATGACTAAGGGGAGCAACAAATGAGTACGCCCCCCCCCCCCCCCCCCCCCCCAATTTTTTCTTTGGGGGCCCCCCCCCCCCCCCCCGGGCGGGGGTTCCCCCCCAAAGAAAACGTCCCCCCCCCCCGGGAAAATTTTTTTAAAAATTTGGGCCCCCCCGGGATTTCCCCCCCCCCCCCCCCCCCCCCTTTAAAAAAAGGGGTTTTTCGCTTTTTTTTTTTTTAAGGGGGGGGGGAAAAAAAAG